TGACAGAAAAGACCTGAGTTTCTGTACCTAAGTTCAGGGTCATGTATTGAATGAGGCATTAAGCCCAGACAGGTCAGTGTATAATAACACCATAACTTTTCTGTTGTATCACAGTCCACATCCTTGAGAGGGACCGGGCTTCTTGTGTGCTCCCTTGTGGACGGCCTGCCTGGTGTGCAGAGTAGAAAGTAGATACGTCAAGCTAATAAAGATAGACATAGATATTCATCCATCCATTTTCGTGATTTCCTCATTCTTCCAATACTGCTCTATTTCCTTAGAAAATAGCCCTAAACAGCTATTACATGGCGCCCATTTATTGAATGGTTTCAGTTATTGGAGCAATTCAAACATTGCTTGCAGAAAACAGCGCCACCTGCTGCCTTAATGTGTTTTGGGTTCAAATACCTTAAGCTGTGGAAATAGGAGGCCCCCTCAGACTGAAGAGCCTTCTGTTTGCATTTTTAATACCTCTACAGGGGTAAGATAAAGGACTTACTAATTATAGGGAATTCTGAGAATTGGTATTCCATGTTTCCCGTTTGCGGCCATCCATAAATGATTTTTTATGTTCTTTGGGCTTCTGAAGCATTTTTAATCATTATAGCATGTTAATTTGGCTGAACTTCTGTCTCCCTTAAGCCATCAGGAATAGCCAGGGGCTTTGTCAGAGTTCATTTGCATTTGCCTCATATCTGCTTAGCTGCTGGAAACTCCAGACTGAAGTGGTACTTGACTCTGGCTGTATCTGCGGTAGACTTCCCCATGGAAGAGAGAGCCTTCCACAGGGACACCTGTCTAAAGCGTGATGTAGGAGCTGAGAGAGGATCAGAATGTGCAGGAGAAACTTGAGGACGCACTGATCGATCAGCTGGTGACCAGAAATGGTCGATTTCCGCCCTGATCGTCGCTGACCGTCAATTGGCCAATCAGTCTAATTATGGTCAATTTTATGAGCCAGTCTTTTGTCCAAAGTGACATACATGACAAATAGCACATTACAAATATACATGTTGTCGAGGCTAAGCTGAGCTTCCAGTGAATTCCCAGTTAAAAGTGCACTGCTTAACACTATTATTATAACGAAAGGACAAAGCAAAGCAAGTGCCTATTTCGCGATGCCTGCGTGTTCGGAGGCTGCAACAGTACCACAACAAAAACAGATCAATGTGAAACAAAGCAATTTCAGCCTGCATAACATCTCAGCTCTGTCTGTATATTGCACTCCTTTGTTAATTATCTGTCTCAGTGGATCTCAACTTAGTGAATAGATCTGAAACTAAAAACTTTGACTGCTAAAACTATTGTATTTTTGTCACATGGTAAACGTTACACAGTCCATATATGGGACAACTGTGCTGTTGACCACCTGGAATGTCTGGCTATGCACATATATATGAGTAGCCAAACAGAAGCAAACGAATCTGACTGATGCAAAATTTCAAATTCTTAAACATATACATTTGTTTGTATTTCTTGTAAACTGAGTTCAGACGTGTGCAGTTATCGAACAAGTAATAAATGTTCATCTGTACACAAAACTTTTGAAAAAATTACTCTTGCTATCATGAGTCAGTTTGTTTTATATGTGCAGTATTTTAAATACTTTTATAAATAAGTTTATTATTATTATGCTAAAAGCTTATTGTAAAGAAAGACCTGCAGGTTAATGAACATTACTACATACATTCCAAAGAAAATCTGAACTATTATGGCTTGTGATTATAACCAAAAATATCATGATATGACATATACCATATCGCCCACCCCTAGTCCCAACTCAGTTTCCATCCACAATCGTGTCCCCCACCCCTCACCTTCCCTCCCCCACTAATACTGCCTGATAGGTGAGGTAAAACACTTACCAGAAAAATGTATGTTGTTGGGAAATGCAGTGTGAGACGAAATTGTTAAATTTGTGTTAAAAATGTTACATGGAGGAACTACCCGAAGAAGACTGGGAACGACCGATGTCATTTGACATTTGCGGAGCCATTTTTATTTGAAGGTTATTTAAAATGTTTGGTAACACTTTACATTAACTGCACCTTCATAATGCTTTTATATTGTATTCATAAAATGTTCAGTATTCCTTCATAATGTATTCATTAAGTATTCATAAACATCATGTATGTATACCTTAACATCCTAACATCCCTTAACAGCTGTAATATACATTAATAACAAACATTATAATTGTATAATCATGCAGTGTTTGTTATTAATGTATAATAAAGCTATTAAGGGATGTTAAGGTGTACTCACATGCTGCTTATGAATGTTCTATGAATGCATTATGAAGGTGCACTTAATGTAAAGCGTTACCAAATATTTTGCTTGCGGAAAGCTAGGTTCATTAAAGTGTTTTTTAAAGTATGCTAATTATTATCAAACTAAGAAAATTGGAATTGGAAAATGCATTCCTAGAGGAAATGTAGGAGCTGATGGAGGAGCAGAAAATGTAGGATTGGATAGAAAAGCTTCCAGGATGAGAAAATGGGGGAGCTGTTGGATAGAGTAACTAGGTAATTCATGTCAGGGAGGACACTTCAAGCTACTTCAGGTTTTACAAACTATTTAAAAAATCACAAACTACTTTAAAACTGAAAGGCTCCTGTGCTTGGCCTAATAGGTCAGTTTTTCTTGTGCGTTTATGGTGTCTTTCCTTGATTGAAAGACTCATCCAGCTGTTTCACATTAACATTAGTGACACATGCATGATTATAGGAGACTGACCAATCAGCACACAGCAGGAACTCAGTAATTAAGTGAAATCAAGGTCCTTTTGATGGTAGTTTACAAATCCTGTCCTAGCTCAAAGTGCCCCTCCTGACATGGATGGTCTGGTCACCCTGCTTGTTGAAGGATCACTAGATGTGTAAGTAGATGATGCAGGGATAGTAAGATGGGCTGGTTGAGAATTTGAAGATGTGAGAGCTGGAGGAGGAGCCATTTGAGGAGAGGGTGCTCCAGACAGTGCACTCCAGCAGCCCAATGATGGGCAGGGCTGTGGGCTGGTCTGTCTCCTGCTGAGCTACAGAGTGGCAGTGCCCCATAATAGCTCTGTAATAATAGGCTCCCCACTGGATCTCCCCACCCTCTGCTGGCATAGTCCAGAGGGTGAGGGGCTCACAGACCCCCAGCACCCGTGATTACGCTGATGCAGCTCTGACGGATGGCAAGTGGCTGACGTGGAGAAAAGTGCTTCCTAACCACCCCCTGATGGAAAAATTAAAAGGTCTGAAGACAGGAAGCGGAAGCCTCACTCTCACCACCACTACCCCCCCCCCCAGCAAGGAGCCTTGCAACATGCACACTCAAAAACACACTGTATACAAGTGCGTGTGTGTTTATTCATTCATTCATCCATTCGTACATTCATTCAGAAATACATAAACAGATAAACTGAGCTACCCCCCCAATCTCCATTTTCTCAACTTAACACTCTCAGGCTTTCATGTTTCATGAATGCAGCCTGTATAGTTACAGTGCTTTAGAGTAAAGGTATACAGCCTATATAGTTACAGTGCTGTACACTGGAGGTTCACTGGCTATATGGGTACAGTCTACAGTATATGGTTACAATATGTTACAGTGGAGGTATGTACAGTGCTTGAGAGTAAAGGTATACAGCTTATAAAGTTACAGTGCTGTACACTGGAGGTTCACTGGCTATATGGGTACAGTGATATAAAGTGATGGGTAGTCTATATGGTTACAGTGTTTCACAGTGGAGGTATCCAGTCTATATGGTTATAGTGTTTCACAGTGAAGGTATCTAGTCTATATGGTTACAGTGTTTCACAGTGGAGGTATCCAGTCTATGTGGTTACAGTGTTTCACAGTGGAGGTATCCAGTCTATATGGTTACAGTGTTTCACAGTGGAGGTACATGGTCTTCATATTCTTGGACACTTCAATAGCCAATTTCTCCCCAGCAAATGCCTTTTATCAGACTAAATATAGCAAGCACTAATGTTAACTTTCCCATAATTGCTCTTTCCAGCTAAAGAGGAAAAAACACCATTTAAATATTCATTGTGCCTGAAACAACCATCAGATGGAAAGTGCTAAATTAGTGGGTTCCATTTGCACATGTGACCCTGCAAGAACACATAGCTACAACGTTTTTTGCCTGATACTGTATGACAATGCCTCCTGTTGACAGGTGTGGGACAGCATTGGTTGATGGGCCAGAGTGTGCTGGAGTTCAAGGGGTGTCCCACTGGAGATGGGTGGGGGGGTGAGCTGGTGGGGGTGTCTTTTGTGTAAGGCTATGTAATCAAGCTCTATCCTTGGTATGATTCTAATCCCTTATAATAATAACAGTAATAATAATCAGGGATTGTTAACCTGCCGGAACATGGAGAAACGCGTCCTTGCCAAAAAACAATGTAAGCAACGTTTTTAAATACCACGTCCATGGTAAATTTGCATTTTGATCAAAATGTCAGAAATCACCATGGTGTTGACCCCGAATAATAATAATCATCATCATCATCATCATCATCATGCAGTGTCTCCCAATCTGGTCCTCAGGGACCAGCACACAGTCCACAGTCTTGTTCCCTCCCAGCTCCTGAGAGAGACCAAAAATATGGACTGTCTGACAGGTAGTTGGGAGGGAGCAAAAACGTCGACTGCCTGTGGGTCCCTGAGGACTGAGTGGATAAGAGGGACTGAGAATGATGGTGATAATGATCAAACCCCAGAAGAGCTGGGTGTGTGGAGTTTGCATGTCCACAGTCTGAAGATATGCAGTGAAGTTAACTAGCACCTCTAAATTGCCAGTAGATAAGTTGCCCTGGAAGGGACTAGAAAATCACCCAGGAATGTAAGCAAGCGGCTAGTCATACATAAATTAAGTTTCGCCTTTTTTAAAACTGGGCCTCTACACAAACAGATCATGAACGTTCGGAGAGTTGCAAAACAGGGTACTGTGACCTCTCGACCTCTGCCAACTCTGCTAATGTCCTCATGTAATTTTTTCCCCTCTGCAGAGCCTGGTGTGAGCGCCCGTTACGGACCCCCCCCCCCCCCCCCCCCCAGCCCCTCCCCCTGCCGCCATTGAATGCCCTCGGTCAAGGAAGCGCAGCCATGAAAGGCTTGTCGGGCAGCCGGAGCCACCACCACCACATGGTCGCCTGCGCGCCCTCCTATGAGTCGCTGGCTCACCACAATGACCGCAAGCCCTTCCTGCTGACCCAGCCAGAGCCCCTGCCGGGGGACCACCCATACTATAGCCAGCGGGCTGCCTTCCCACAGGAGTGCCCTGCTCCGTACGGCACCTTCCCGCGCCGCTATGGATCCCACCTAGAACTTAAGGAAGAATGTCAGGCCCTGGTTCCGTACGTGGCGCCGGCTCCACCAACCCCGACTAGCCGAGCCCCCTGCAGCCTCCTGGACCAGCTGCCCTCCGGGCGAGACGGCTACCACACGCTGCAGTATAAGCGGGCGGTGGCCGCCGCAGCCGAGCAGCGCGGAGACAGCCCCGGCCGCATTCGTCACCTGGTGCATTCGGTGCAAAAGCTGTTCACCAAGTCGCATTCCCTGGAGGGGCCCACCAAGGGGGGTGTGAACGGCAACAAAGCGGGCCCTGACGAAGTGCCCCCCACCCGCCACCGCAAGCGGAGCAAGAGCCGGGACCGCTGCAAGTCGGCCGAGCCCAAGCTGCGGCCCCACGCCTCCGGCTACTGGAGCTCCGACGACAACCTTGACCGCGACGCCTGCCTCTTCCGCAGCCCCATGGGCGCCATGACGGTGGGCCGGCGACCCGACAAGTCGCAGTCGCAGTATTTCCTGGAGGCGTACAACACTGTCAGCGAGCGCGCGCTCAAGCCGCCGCGCCCCAACAACGACGTCAAGTGCACAGCCTGCTCCAGCGCACCCGTGAACCTGGACACCCAGCTCGTGAAGAAGAGCTCGTGGTCGTCCACGCTAACGGTGAGCAGGGCGCGCCAGGTCTACCAGAAGGTCCCCATAAACGTAGATAACGCATTAATGAGGTCTGAGCCCTGTGGCCAGGAGAGTTCGTGCCACTTCCTGCAGGTAGGTGGCTTTTCCTATGTACCTTGCCTCTCCCCCACCCCATTCCGGAGTCTCCCAGGGAGAAGTAAGTGCCAAACATTAGCTGCCTTACTCTCTTCAGCCTCAGAGCATTACGTCCATCTAGAGTGCGTACCGTCTCCCGTTTCCTGCCTTGTGAACCATCACCTTGTGGATGTCACTGTTTCGGTTTCTCTCTGTGTGCGCGGTGGGAGGGTGTGCATTTCCTTTGGAGCGTGTGTGTATGCATCTGTGTGGGTAGGAAGGTTGGTAGGATGGACAAATGCTTTTTTCCTGTGTTTTTGTAGATAGCTGTGTAGGATGGTGGAGTGTGTGTGGTGGTTATAGATCAGTTAGTAGAATGGGGGTATGCGTGTAGAAAGATTTGTATGTGTATCTGTGTGATTTGTATGTCATATATCACTTAAATTTGGCTGCGTGTGTTTTTGTGTACTTACATGTATGTGTCTGTGTGGGCTGTGTTTCTAGCAGCCTTCCCAAGGGCTCCCCCCAGAGGCCTGGGTGGTATTGCAGCAGGGAGGTCTATAAAAACACCCCCTCCCAGCTCCTCACACCTTCCAGAAGGGAGCCGGGAGCTCTCCAGAGCCTCAACAGAGATGCCCCTGGCTCCCGTAACACAGCCGAAAGCACGAGCGGACAGAGAGAAACCCGACTTTCATGTTCTATCCTGTCATGCTGCATCTCTAACTAACCCCTTCGTGCCACATTTTCACACCGATATTCACCTCCACTAACGTGCCGGCCATTGTTAGAGGCTGTCGGTGGCCATCTTAGACTTTGCTGTTAAAGTGTGACTGCCTCTGTGTGTGTGTGTGTGTGTGGGTTGCGTGTGAATGCTGATTTGGGATTGGCTGAAGCTAGAGCTGAGTTCCATTTCCTTATATTCGTTTTGCCGGGTATCACTGGGTGTTTCCTGGTGTGCGGGAGGCTTTAGCCTCCCCCTTGTCATCTCTCTAGGCAGATTCAGTGTAGCGAGTCACCTGACTGGGCTGAATACTTGATGTTTTCGTCTCACCGCAGTTCAGTGGTTAAAAACCCAGAAGTTGGAGTCTTATCCCTCTTTTTTTGTTTTTGTCTCAGGCACTTGTTCAGTTTCCTTTTTTCTCATTTAAGAACTGATTCCCGGTTGCCATAGTAACACTGAATGACATCAGTATTGCGAAAAGAAACTCCACATCCAAGGAGGTATTTGGAAAGAAACGGCTCCCTCTCACTATAGAAGACTGCAGGAAACCACAACAACAGAATTTGTGTCCTAGAAATTTCCGGTTTTGGAATGTGACCCCTGGTCAAAACTGGACTTTCTGTACTGCTGTGACATCAGGGTAACATCTGACTCTGTACGGTTAACTTCTAGACAGGGGCCGATGTCAGGGAGCTTCAGCGTCGATCTGTTCCTGATATCCACTCCCCCCACTGATCTCCCCACTCCGTTAAAAGGATGTGAGTTTCGTGTGATTCTGAGCCCGTAGAAAATCAGCATAGGTGACCAGCTGAACAAACAGGTGTAAATCCAAATCTGCAGATGTCACCTTGGATAGAAGTGTTTCCTGGGCAACTGATAACAGGATGGTTTGTGGTGATGCAGGGCTGCATCAGTCAGACCTGAACAACAGCTGTAGCTACCTGTTCAGCCTCATTCACCTGAAACAATCGCATGGCCAGCTACAGCAGTTACATGACTACCTGAAGCAAGCACATGTCCAGCTGAAAGTCACATGACTACCTGAAGCAACCACCTGTCCAGCTGAAAGTCACATGACTACCTGAAAATCACATGGCCAGCTGACGCAGTCACATGGCCACCTGAAACAGTCACATGGCCTCCCGATAGAGCCAAGCAGTTTTGAAAGACAGCAAGTAACTGTAGTCCCATTATCCGCTAACACAGGAATCTATAATTAGAAGATCAGGCAGCCCGTGGCGATGTGGGGCTGTACCCACTCTTGGATGGGGACAGGGACATGCGGAACAGCAGGCGATTCTTAGTCTTAGAAGCTGCGGCCCAGAGCCACCCTGCGGGAGACATCATGCGGCACACGGGCCGGCCGCTGACGTATGCGGCTCCCGCTCACGCCTCCCCCGACGGGCTTTATGTTCAGTCAGCCGCCCCTCAGCGCTTACGTTACGGGCTCCTCGCTGTTTCCTTAGTTACCGGCGCCTTTGATTGATCAGTGTAATCTTTGCAGGATTTCTGCTATTTTTTTTCCCTCGCACAATGTTCCCGGTCCACGGTGTTCCTGTGATTTCATAAAGACAGCCTTTCCTGATGTCCCTCCAGCGGTGGCCTGTGACGGATTGCTGTCTTTCACCAGAGTGGGAGAAAGGTGCAGGGAGTCCGTTTGTACACAGACATGTTTGGAACAGCATATCCTCGAAGAGGACTGAAGCTTTGGTTGCTACAGGCAACAAAATGTGCCTTAACATTCTGGAGCATTAAGAGGCAATACCAAAGCACATCATTTTTTTTGTTCTTGAATATTTTGTTGCCCATATATATTTTTTACATATTTATTTATCCCGAGGATATGTGTCTTATGGTGACTAAGATTCACAAAATCTGTTCCCATCCATCCTAAATCTGTTTCTCTTTTTTCCTGGATTGATCAGGTCTACCAGATTTAATTATGGTTTTCGGACTAATGTTGGAGTTACACTGTATCATAGTTCCGTAAATGTCCTGTTCATCAGACAGAGACAGTGTAACAAAGTTTAAAATAAAGCATCATTCCGTGATGAATCTTCATCGCCAATTTGGCCTTGGCACGGCATCACGCTCTTCATTCCGGCTTGTTCTCTCATCGTTCACACCAAGTTCGTGGCAGCAGGACGGGGGGGCTGTGAATCAAAGTGCCCTTCCGCAGCCTCCTGTCTCTGACATCCCTGCGATGTGCATTCTCCGTGTCACTGAGGCTTGTTGCCATGGTGCGCCACATGGGTCAGCGGTAGGGTGGGGAAGCCCTAGCAGAGGCTGCCACACTGTAATGTGGACCTTGGAAGACATGTGGTGTTTGTGGACCATGTCCCACCCGACTCAGCTAGTTATCTGAGTCCTTATCAAATAAGAGCTGTATAGAGACCATATTAGCCCTGTAACCTCCAAGGAATGGGAGGGGTCAAAATGTTTGGCTTTACCTTTTAACATTTTGATGCACCATAATAATGAACTTATTTGAGCCAATGACTCACCCGCTAAAGGCCCAGCCTATTATGAAATGCTGTTGCTCTCATCCAATCAGTGTGGTGCAGAAGTGTCATGTGACAGCAATAGAATTTGAATTTTACCTTTGTACCTTTTAATGAAACATTTAACACAGATAATTTCTAAATTTCCTAACGAGAGGCTGATTCAAAGTCCTACTGCATTTTATTTGTAATGTTTTCATTTTGGATTCACATGAACTACACCACTGTCATTTAAAGTCTGTGCACGTCCCCTCAATTATTGCAGGAACCACATCCCATGCGTTGGACTCCTGTTGCAGGAGTTCCTGAGGAACACACCTCAAGGCAGCATTATTCCCATAGGAAACCATAGGAGCGCTGCTCATTCAATCTCATGTAAAACAGGCCAGAGGATGGGAGTAGAAGATGTGAACGACCATCAGAGCTGAGCTCTGTGATAACGGCAGCTCTGGTCTCCATCGACAGCAGTCTGCTAATGAAATAAGACCCAACAGAGCTCTGTTAGCAAGCCACTAATAGTATCACAGAGAATCTAATGCAAATTAGCCTCTCACCCACATGGTCCTGGAAGGGGGTGAGCCCTCGTTCACCGAGGAACTCCTCCCTTATCACTTGATTTTCTAATGCAGTGTTTCCCAACCCAGTCCTTGAGGACCACTAGACGGTCCACATTTCTGCTCCCTCCCTGCATCCAGCCAATCAAAAACTCAGAATACCTAGCTTGGGTGTGTTGGGAGCTGGGAGGGAACAAAAATATGAACTCACTGGGAGTCCCCAAGGGTTGGGAGACACTGTTCTAAAGAATATATGTGGACGATGTAGTACATGATTAGCAGTTGCTGTATTTGACCAAGATACTGTGCAAATAGTGTTTAGGTTTACTGTCAGACGAAAAGGAAGGTTTCAGAAATAAACAGAAACTGACAGGTGAAAGTAAATTAGCAACACAAAAAGGGTAGGAACACAGTGACTTGGTGCATTTATCATGCAGTTGTTAGGGGCTAAGCTGACTAATATATATATATATATATATATATATATATCTGTTTATGTTATCAGCATATTTCAGATCTAGTGTCTGGATTAAAAGTACAAGAGATTTTTAAAGACTGGACCATTGAGGTTACAATTTATACTACTACGCTGCAAGGGGCTACCATTCATGGTGTCCGCTGCTTCCTGCCCTCTACTTCCTGGGTGGGGCTCCAGGCTCACATGGGGATGGGGAGAACATATATGGGGATGGATGGATGGATGGATAAATTAGGTGAAGAAGTACAGTATCATACCCGTGCAACAGACATCTTGCCTTTGGTAAATACATACTTTTAGATGAGAGTACAAAATTCACCTTAATTGCTTGTTCTTTTTATAGCTACTTTTGAAGAGCAGTTCAGGCTGTAGTTTTGACAGGGAACACATCTGCATTTCAAACGAGAGAAGTGATGTTCTAGTGGCTGAGAACTAGATTGGACCAGCAAGGACACCTTTAATGTCCATGAGGGATCCACCATAATCCTCTTCCTGGTGGAATCTAAACCTCCCAGCCCAGGATGAGAGCAGAACCTCACTCCATGAAGATGGAAGCTTGGGTCCCTTGAAGGAACTAGAGGTTTCTATAGATGCAGATGATTTGACCCAGACTAATCCAGATTCATCTTGACCGACATACACCATAACCTGTACTGGAATAGAGGTTATGGAAGGTGGATGAATGGATGGATGGAGGTATGGATTGGTGGAGATGTGAGTGGCTGAGTATGCAGTCTGCGTTTGACTCTTGGTGATGGATGTGGAATAGGTACAGAAGTGGCTAGTGGAGGAAGGCAGTCCCACCTCTGCATCTTGAAACTTTATCTTCCAGAAGGGGACAGGGCAGAAGGCAGCTCTTATGTGAAAGAGTCAAGTGTAATTTTGGTCTGCCTGACCTGCTGCTATTGCTGTTGTTGCTATGGCATCGCCCCACCCTCCCCGTTCCTGCCCATCCACCCGTCTCCACAGGTGCCCCAGGATGAGTGGAGTGGCTTCCCGTCACTTGGCAAGGATGACGACATCCCGTGCCGGCGAATGCGCAGCGGCAGCTATGTGAAGGCCATGGCAGACGACGACAGTGGTGATTCGGAGGGCAGTCCGCAGCCCTCGCCCAAGGTGCAGGCGCGCCGGGCCAGCTACCTCAAGGCCACACAGCCATCGCTCACCGAGATGACCACTCTCAAGTAAGCATCACCGTCCACGAGCTCCACCCCTCACAGGCCACACCCCCTAGCATAACCCACACTCTCCTTATTTGCTGGTGGGTTTTATAAAGGATCTTAGGCATCATGATACAAAGAGGCAGGTGGATCATGAGGTCATGGACAAGCCCCTCTTACTACAGTTCAATCACTGAAGTACCTCTTTACGTGAGGTAGACAAAAAAAAGGAGAGTGGGATTAATATTCCAACTCATAGGGGCTTCCTGGTTTGTTCCAGCTTTGTACGTTGTGTCTGCTTGGTTCTCCTCACGTTATATCCTGAGGGTACTAGCAACATTTTGCAGATCCATCCCCCAATACCCAAGTCCCAGGAATTGCTGTTCCTTAGAGTCCTTCTCTGGATTCCTCCTCCCCCCAAACTGGAGCAATGATGCCCAGCGAGCCTGCCCAGCTGTTGGCAAGCCTGTAGTCGCTGGCAGGCTAACACGTTAGTGCCAGTTCCCGTGGCACTGCATTGTTGCCAGAAATGGGGTGATAATTGCTTGCATTTCTGAGACTCGCACCTGAATTCTTCCCCGATTCGCAGCGTCATTTTGTTGTCTTGTATGGATTCTTGCCCAACTGGACCTCACAGGTACAGCCGAGATCAGGTTCTGATATGTCACCTTGGTTTTCCTGATCCATTTTGGGCTAAGGGCCAGGTCTGTTGACGATGAGGCGTTATTTTAATTAGCCCCGGGATGTTATTATTTCTTGACACATTTGTCGTGCATGGTATCCAAGGAGAGACATTAATTCTTTTTTCATTTATTGTTAATATCATTAGTGTCTGATGCTTCGGGGTAAAGCAGGTGTGTTCCTTAGCCACAGCACCTTGTGATGGCCTGGCATCCTGTCCAGGCTGTACTTTGCTGTGTGCTTGGTGCCTCCTGGGACAGGAGATAACCTCCCCCGACCCTCTAGTGTACATTACATTTACATTTATTTATTTAGGGAATTACTCAAGGGCGCAAGAGTAGTATTAGGCTGCCAGGAATGGGATGTGAACCAGCAGCCTTCCGATCACAGACAAAGGGTCCTAACCCGCTAAGTCACACACCACCTCCTCATGTAGCAAATCAGAGATCGATAACCCGAAGGGCCCCTTCTATTTATGTAGTCGGTTCTTCAGTGTGGAGTGCGGAGCATGGGGGCCGAGGGCCGTGTATAATAGACTGCCTTGTATACGTCTTGTCAGCTGCCTTTGGAAGGCTAACGGACCGCCGCATTATAAGCTGAAAATTACTTTCCTCACCGCAGCAGGTAATGCTAATTCTCACAAGAAGAGAGCAATCCCCACCGCACAAACAGAACACACACCCGTCCCAGAGACTATCTCTGCAGGGAAGTGTGACTCACTGGCTCGCGTCCATAGCGAATCAGAGCAATATTTAGCCTGGGTCCTTAGGGGCCTCATGGCCACCTCAATTCCCAGGCACCCTCGGGGCAGATTGGCTTCTGCCCAGTCTAACTTGAGACCCCACCTTGAATCAACCGCCACTAAAAACACGACCAGTGTATGTGATGATTAAAGCTGCTGATTAAGACACACACACACAACCTGTACCAGTGAAGTAAACTGGATTAAACCTGTTTATTACCAGTAATAGAAAAGGGACTCTTTAGCCAGTTCAGCCTTGTTTGCCCTACCCGAGCTCAGATGTCTGTTCTGTTTCTCACTGCATTCCTGTTTCGCCAAATCGGAACGACTCCACTCCAGAGAATGTGGTACCGAGGCAAACCACCAAATCCCCTCCCACAGCATACTGCCTAAGCTTCATGCCGGCTCATCTGACTGATTTCCTGACTTTCGGCCCTTAGATCTGACGCGCGTGACCCTGTCATGAGTGACCCTGTCTTCCTCCTCGCAGCATCTCCACGGAGCACTCCCCCAAGCTCCAGATCCGGAGCCACAGCTACTTGCAGGCGGTGAGTCAGGTATCCATTAACAGGAGCATGGACACCCTGGACCCTGGCAAAGCACTGCTGGACCCCAAGAGCCTGCTGTCCTCACCCCAGTACCGCTCACGGAACGAGAGCTACATGAGGGCCATGAGCACAATCAGCCAGGTGAGTGCTCCCCCCGCCCCCCCCCCCCAGCCCTGCCCAAACATGTTACCTGGAACCTCTCCACTGCTCTTTGGCTGGGAAAATGTACTATGAAAATGACAAATAACTGCCATAACAAACTCATTAAAGAAATAAACAAACTTAGCCAATGCTGCCAATGTGAAAAAATTAATGGCCGCTTCAAATTACGCCTAACGTATTCTTCATTTATATCTGATACACAAACTGTGGGGACTTGCATATATATCCAAACTTGTTGGGTTTGACTGCTCAAGCCAAACCACATGCTAGTGTTAACCATTCACCACCATCCATTTTTCTGGTGGGAGCTCAGATGTGGGGGAGGGGCTTACATTGGCCAATCCCATTTTCTCCCGTGCATACTCTTCTGTTGAGGATGAGGAGAGATGCTCGCTGGAATGGTTCAGCCAGCCTTGTGCGACATCATCTCTGCTGAGACTCTGAGAAGCATCAGTGAGCTTATGAGTCCCGTGCCGCACACACCCCGCCTCCCGCACTTGCTCAGTTGCGATTGGCCGACTACGATGCCCGTCCCCTTGTGTCACCAGATAATCCATATTTCAGGTCTGCTCCCATCAGTTCATGGAGCATCAAAGGTACTCATGCCTGACCATCCAGTTGACACTTGAAAGTCAGTAACACCGTCAGCTGAAAATCACTGACTTTGAAAATTACTGACCTCACTACCAGAAGGTCATTGACCCCATCCCCCAAAGATGCTGACCCCATGTCCTCTACCCCCACCTTCTCATGCCATAGCCCACAGCCAGCACTGACTGGGGTCGATTTCATGACTGTGGCATGTCTCTTCTGTCCACTATTTAACTGTATTTGACTCTCCCTCCCGGCCCCTGGAGGATGGGCTCCCCCTTTGAGTCTGGTCCCTCCCAAGGTTTCTTCCTTCTAGGGAGTTTTTCCTTGCCACTGTCGCCTATGGCTTACTCATTGGGGGCTTTGGGTGGGGATGCTGTAAAGCGCTTTGAGACGATGTAATGTTGTGATAATGCGCTATACAAAAATAAATTTGTTGTTGTTGTTGTTATGTTTCTATTGGGCACCTTTGTTCTGTCACATACATTAAAAATGCTTAAGAACATTACAAAAGTGACTTCTAGGAGCAGGGTCTCTGTGGGGATGATCGATTTCCCTCCCAACGCCCCTAGGTGAGCGAGGTGGAGGTGAACGGACAGTTCGAGTCGGTGTGCGAGTCCGTGTTCAGCGAGCTGGAGTCGCAGGCGGTGGACGCGCTGGACCTGCCGCTGCCAGGCTGTTTCCGCATGCGTAGTCACAGCTATGTGCGAGCCATCGACCAAGGCTGCTCGCAGGATGATGACTACCCCCTGCTGCAGACTGCCTCACCACCCCGCACAGCTACCACTGTCAGGACCATCCAGAGCAGCACAGGTCAGTCCTGCATTGGCCTGATTAGAAAACATTTTTAACAGTCCCTTACCTGAGCATAAAATATATTGTATATATATATGTATATAAGTATATATGTATATATAAATATAATATATATGATTGCTTTGTTGGAAAGATTGAACCTGGGTGTTTGGACAATGTTGTCAATCCCCCCCCTTTAGGTGGTCATAAACAAGCGATGGAGGTGGGTGTAGGAGGTAAGCAGTGATCAGCTGACACAAAACTGAAACCAGTTTGCTAGTTTGTCCTGGTTTGTCTAGTTGTGTAGGGAGTGTCTGAAAATTCCCTTCCAGAATCTCTGTGTGTAAAGCTTCAGTCGTCATGCACAAATTTGTTTGTTGTTTTTTTTTTGTTTTCCCCGAATGTTTCATTCAAGTCCCTCCACAAAAAAAATGCTTTTTAGCTTAACTTAATGCCAGGGACTGGGGGTTGGAAGGGAGACTTTAGTGGTCTTAGCAACCTCACATTCTGGTTGTCTGGGTGACTTCCTAATATGTCAGACAATGGCGCCCTCTAGGAAGCGTGGTGTAATGGCACTAACTTTGATGCCAAGACTTCAGGCTTATGGCTAGCAAATTAAAACTATTTAAACGCAACCCAAAGAACTCCGAGTGCTGTAAAAACACCTCAAGTACAGTCGACAATCCTTTGTTGGGGAAAATTGAAGGTAATGCCTTCATTTAGTACCATTTGGCACTCGGCGGTATGTTCTGAATTCCCAGTGGCTGGTTAATTGTCGTTACCGACGATGGAATCCCCCATTCTCCTAAACCACCTCTCAGACAGTGCGGCTTCTCGTGTGTGTGTCATGTTCTCTGACACCCTGCTCTGTTACCTAAATCGGGGAGAAGGTGGATTAGCAGGGAATCCTGCAGCTAACATTGTATTGGCTGACTGATTTAGCCAATCAAGAGTTAAGTCGATTCACATATCCGCAGACTGTCAGACTGGACTGGGTTGGACCTTTTAAAGTAGCAGTCTTACTATTAGTCTGTGACCATCCTATGGTCATGGTAGCTTTACTTCTCATGTAGGCTACAGTGAAAAGGAGCATATGCTCCAATCAGCCTCACTCCATTGCCTGAGCTTTGGGTCCAGTTAACAGCCTCAGTGAAGAAGCTCCAGAACTCTGGTCGGAAAAGCCCATCTCTCAGGTGTGGCCAATGTGAGGTTGCTGGATCTCACATGATGGAAAAGAGGAAGGGACACCTCTAGGGTTTTATGGAACTGTGGAACCCAGAGCTGGTTAGTCACTGAAGGGATGCGGGGAGGGCCAGGGGGAGAATGACACTCACTCTGAATGGAACATCGTTATTGAGTTCCATACCAGTCATCTTTGAGAACCAACCAGGATGACTGGCTTGACCGGAAGGAGGAGGGATACTCTGGAAAGGTATAAGTCATGTTTATATAACATGATTTCTCTTGGTATTGGGGTTGTGGCTCGCCATACACCACGTACCTATGGCAGAACCTTCGCTTTGCCCTGCATTCCATGGCAATCCCTGTCTTCAGTGAAACTCCTCCGCAAATCTATAGGTTCGGTTTCAATCAGTAGTGTTTTGCAACAAGTTGCATATTGGTAGCATGTCTTTGCAAGTCCCCATCTGCGACAATTATGTGAGAAATGCACTCAGGGTACCTGCAGACACTTTCAGATCCTGGCAAAGCGCGCTGTCGCCCCCTAGTGAATGGAGGTCTCCACTGCATATGCCTGAGGATGCAAAGGGTTCAGCTGTTTTGTGAATCTGCTTTCCTTGCATGTTTTTCTTTTTTTTTTTAATTCCTCCTGACGGATTGCGAGCTTTGATCTGCTGATGCCTTTTGGTCTTAACGAAGCTCATTATCATGGGCTCCACCCACAGCTTGATGGGCAGCAGTGTATTGCTTTCATAATGCAGCCTTCATTAGGCAGGGGAGTGAGCCTCTTTAGAGAGCTGCACTTCGCTGACCATCACGTTCTCTCCTTTTTTCATTTGTTACTAAGCATTTTTCTGTGTGTGACTGAAGAGTGCATGTATGCATGAATAAGTGCAAAAAAAGAATGCTAGAATGTACATGGGGCGACGTGTGGCTCACTGGGTTAGAACACATTGGGGTCGTGTCAGACTTAGTGGGTTAGAACACATGCTGTGTGGCTCTACGGGTTAGGACACTATGCCTGAGATCGGATGGTCACTGGTCCCCTGAGCAAGGCCCTTAACCTCTAGCTACACCAGGGACTGCCTTACTCTGCTTTCTCAAAAATATACGCCACTTAAAGAAGTGCCTGCAAAATAAATAAAACGTAAATGTACGTGCCAGAGAGTACATGTGTGTGAGTGTGCATGTGTCTCTGCTCACGTGAATGCTTCTCTATAGGTTAGCATGTTTATATAAGACTGAGCATGTGTATATAGGAATATGCTTGTGTGCCAGAGAAGGTGTGTGTAAAGTTTGTGTATATATGTATGGAAGTGGGTTCATGTCTGTATATGTGGGGGTATGTGTTTGTATCAACGTCTATATGTGTGTATCTGTTGGTCAGTATGCGTGTGTGTGTATGTGTGTATGTATATATGTGTATCGATGTGTTTCCAGCAGTGTTATGTACGGAAATGTCTCTATCACCATCCTCTGCCAACTTGCTGACAAACAAGCAGAACACCACTCCATACGATGACCATTTGGCCCTGTTTACACTCAGTTTTAAAATGCATCTTTGGCGACTGGATCACAAGTAGACAGTGTTAAATACAAGTAAAATGACCACTAAGATGCATTGTGGTCTGATCACTCTAACCACTTGCCGAGGAGGTCTGGGACACATTGACCATATATCTTTTGTAGCGTAAATGCTAATGCATCCTGATGCATCCCCAAACAAGGACGTCACAATAACTGTATGTGGGGCAGTAACCATATCTGAACACTAGAGGTCAGCTGGACGCCTTGATAGATGCATGACAGACACAGGTGTAAACGGCGATGTGTCTCAGCTGTCTACTTGTGATCGGATCACCCCAGATGCATTTTAAAACCAAGTGTGAACAGGGTCTTTGACATTTCAGAGTGGTACCTCTCACTGCAGCATCCCAACAGTGATTCAGATCCAAAGCCAGTTTAATCCTGCCCATATACACTTGCAATGAATCTACCAATAACATTTTACAGAGTGCATTAAACACAGTGAAATCTTTCTTTTCATACATATAACATAATTTGTAATATGATATATTTTGCAATACAATTCTTTTGATACTAAAATATATTCTCAATAACAAAAAAATGCATGTACCTCCATGTTTTAACTTGACTTATATGTGCACTTAATTTCTCAGAAGTGTCACCAGGGATTGTCATTAGTTGTCCCAGAACAGCCTGGTCTTGAAATGTATTATTTTAGTGAAGAGACAAGCTTTCTCCTTAATGGCCCTTTATGTTATTAATTAAAACCCCACAGGTCAAAATTTAGAGATGTAATACAGAGAAAAAAACTTGGTTCATTGGGCTTTACTTTGGGGTTATTGGAAAAGAGGGAGTTTCAATGTGTAGTTTAAAAAATATGTGCCGAATTACATGCACATTATTCTATGCTGATGGGAGGCAGGGTACAAAGGTGAGCCCATCAATTTTCTACACTTCCCCTCCCATCCAGAGATGTTTAAATTCATTACACGCTGTAGAAAACAACATCTTCAGGTGTGAGTGATACAACACCAACCAGAGACAGTCATTTTCATGAAGGTCCCCCCAACGGGTTTGGACCATGCTGCGTTTTAAGAGTCTGTCCCTTTGCATTATTAGAGGTGTAGAAGTGATCTGACAGTCAATTGTTTCTCTAATTTATTCACATTACAAAGATCAATCATGGGTGTATGTCATGTGACTGTCTTGTTCAAATGAAAGCCCCCCAAAATGGCTCCATGCTCCAATCCCAATTTTGTCTCATTTCTATGAGTATCTTTTCTCATGGCTTCACTTTAAAAATCTGACATATTTTAGAAACATTGTTTTTCAATGCCCGAATGCTTTTTTGGACAACCTGGACTGAATGTGTTATTTATTAATAACTAAAAGTGGATAGAGTGCTGAAAACTCTCAAAACGTTGTGTTACTTAAAAAGAAATGGTCTGTGAGTAGAGTAGAAGTACCTATCTTAGAGACTACTGAAGTAAAAGAGCAGCTTGTTTAAAAAGTACTCAGAGTAGTGATTTTTTTTTTTATTGTGTTTTCTGCCCATGACATTTCAATTTACAAATGTAGCCCACATATTGTAAGTAACCTTCTCTTTTGTTTTTCGGAAAGAATGAAAAAGGCATCGTACGATTTTTTAAAAAAATCTGACTAGCAATTAATGCAAAACAAAAGCTCTTCTAATAGTTTTATGCATTTTGTATTTGAAATCAAGTGTAACACTTGCGAACGCAACCAAGTACTAAATATTTTCCAAATACATTAAAAATATTTTTTCCTGTAGGTTAATAAGTACTTAGGACCCTTTAAAGAGAGAGAGAGAGAGAGAGAGAGAGAGAGAGAGAGAGAGAGCTAATGTTACACTGCAGCGCCACCAGTTAAAATAGGGAGATCTTACACCGTTACAGCAGCCTCCTAACAGCAATTTTACCTGACAATAATTTTCCTAATTCGACTGCAAATAAATAGTTTAGCCTACGTAAGTGCTGATAGATTAAAAACATAATAATTAAAAACATTAATTAAACGTGATCTCAGACTGGGAGTTTCGCTGGATGTACACCGTTCGTAGCTGACTAGCCTGCTTGAAGTTATGTGATAAAGGCATAAGTTACCTAACTAAAACTTACCTGTATATGTTTCTTAAGATTGGAAAGCAAATTATTCAGCGTGTCGAGAGCTAAGGAAGCGGCCGCAACATTAGTGTTACCCTTCTTTCATTGACTTGGAAAAGCTGCCGCGGGTATGTCCGCAGGTATGGCCATGGGTGTCACCGGATCTGTAGTCATGGCAACTACCGCCAGGAGCCTTTTAGTGGCTGTCAACTTTTTGGCGGGCGGTAAACAGAAAAGTAAAATTAGCCTTTCAGCTACGCGCGGTCACCTCCACTACCCGCCCTGCGTGCGGTGGACCCACGCGCACCATCATTTACAACACTTAACATTAAACGCTATATGTGACAATACTTTGCAACACAATGACAGCACAATGGACGATGACTACGCCAAGCTATTTACATTAA